TTCCTGGAGGTATTTTGTCACAGAGGGGCCAAACACACCATAGAACCAGTCCAAGAAAAGTTTCCTTGTGCCCATAAAGGCTTCACTTTGCAATCACCACTAACATTACTACACAACATTAATGTCAGCCTGTCTTTCATAGGCTTATGTCCCGGAAGTGCCTTTTCCTCCTGAGTAATGTAGGTCCTGTTTGGCATTTTCTTCCAAAACAGGCCTGTTTTGTCACAATTAAACACTTGTTCAGGTTTTAAATTTTCAGTCTCCACCAAATTTCGTTCTTTTGGTGTCATTACAATCGGGAAAAGATTCTCTATCAGGATTTGGGGTTGCAACAGTGAAAAGGTTAACTTACTTGCTACACTTTATCGCTGGCTGGCACTATAGCCTTTATTGACTCCTGCTTTAGTATCGTACATATCGTAGAATCACTGGATCACTGAAGAAGGCACATTCTCCCCTCTCTCTTCCTCCTCAACTTTGGTACTTTGCTACGAGTTTTTTCTTTAATTCTATTGTGTTTCTCACCTTCTTTATCAACGGGCTGGCACTAGCAGCTTTCTTTGGGCCCATGGTGGCTTATTTAGCAGTCACACAGAATAAACACGTGCAAAAATCAATGAATTATTAACCCTTTCAGGGTCCATAGGCCAAATTTCAAAGTGTGCACCAGTGTCCAAGAATTTAAAAAAAATAATTGTTATTTTTTTATATGAAATGGCAGAGAATCATTTTCTGAAGGTAATAAAACAAAAAGTATGAAATTTGATGGAAAATTGACGAAATTATGCTCTCGCGAATTTTGATGTGTCAGCGATACTTACACATCGGCGATTTTGCCAACTTTGACTCCCATTTTAGGTCAGTTGCCTCATTCCAGTCGATGAAATTCTTAGCTATTTCACGAGTATTACTTCTATTCTATCAATTGAGCACAAGAAATCGCCAACTCAACTGTTTGAACTACAGAATAAAGTGATTGGAAATTGGTAATTTGGCCAATTTAGTGCAAAGTTCAGAATATTCCAATTTCAAAATAAGGTCCAGAATAAACAGTGCAGGCATTCCTGGCACTAAACTAACATTTCCTCTGTTCATTAGTTAAGTTTTCATGCTTTACAAATGAATTCCATTTTGATTTTTAATTCACATAATGAATTTTTATTCAAACCAAAAAATAGAAGATTTACTGTCATGCAATATTGTAATACAGTGGACCCTCAACCAGCGATATTAATCCGTTCCTGAGAGCTCATCGTTAGTCAAAATAATCGTTAGTCAAGTTAATTTTCCCCATAAGAAATAATGGAAATCAAATTAATCCGTGCAAGACACCCAAAAGTATGAAAAAAAAAAAATTTTACCACATGAAATACTAATTTTAATACACACAAACTGAAGATTACATGCACAGTTACATGACACTTACCTTTATTGAAGATCTGGTGATGATTGATGGGTTGGGAGGAGGGAAGAGCGTTATCTTCTTATTGTTTAAAAGGGGGAATCCCTTCCATTAGCACTTGAGACAGCAAGTCTTTTTCTGGGGTATTTCCCCTTGTTCTTTTAATGCCACTAGGAACCATTTTGAGAGTCACTGGACTTCTGTCGCACAACATATCTGTCCATAGGGGCCTGTACCCTCTCGTTCCTTTATGACTTTCCTAAATTTGGTTCACAACATTGTCAGTGTACAGGTTGCCAACACGGCTTGCAGTAGCTGTTTCAGGTGATTATCTTTCCATAAAGCTTTGCACTTTAAGCCACATTGCACAGATTTCCTTAATCTTAGAAGTAGGCAACTTCTTCAATTTTTTCTCTCCCCTCCTCCAAAGCAGTTTCCTCGGGTTTCTGCCCTCTTGCTGTTCAAGATGATCTAGCGCTCATCAGTGGTTAGTTCTTCACTGTCCTCCACCACAACTCTTCCACATCCTCCCCACTAACCTCCAACCCCAAGGACTTCCCCAGTGCCACAATGGATTCCTAAAACTGGCATAGGATTCTCAGTTTAGCCTCAAACCCTTCAAAATCCTTTTTGTCTACACATTCTGGCCACAGTTTTTTCCAAGCAGAGTTCAATGTCCTCTTAGTCACTTCCCCCCCAAGCCTTACCTATAATTTTACACAATTGAGGATGGTAAAATGATCTTTCCAAAACTCTCTTAGTCAGTTGAGTTTCTGAGGTCACTACAAAGCACCTTTCAAACATAGCTTTTGTGTACAGTTTCTTGAAGTTGGAAATAACCTGTTTGGTCCATGGGCTGCAGGAGAGGATTGGTATTAGGAGGCAAAAACTTCACCTTAATGAAGCTCATGTCCCTAGAAAGTCGCTCTGGCCACATCTGTAGGATGACCAGGGGCATTGTCTAATACCAGAGCAAATTAAGGTCTAATTTCTTTTCAATTAGGTAATTTTTTTTTACATCGGGGCAAATGCATGGTGTAACCAGTCATAGAAAAAGTCCCTTTGTGACCCATGCCTTACTGTTTGCCCTCCACAGCACACACAAATTAGCCTTGAGGACATTGTTTTTTCCCGAACACTCTGGGGTTTCAGAGTGATACACCAATAAAGGCTTCACTTTGCAATCACCACTACATTGGCACAAAATCAACAAAGTAAGCCTGTCTTTCATAGGCTTAGTCCTGGTTAGTGCTTTTCCTCCTGAGTAATGTACGTCCTGCTTGGCATTTTCTTCCAAAACAGGCCTGTTTCGTCACAATTAAACACTTTTCAGGTTTCAGTCCTTCACTGTCTATGTACTCCTTGAAGTCCTCACATATTTTTCAGCTGCTTTGTGGTCCGAACTGGCAGCCTCACCATGCCTTATCACACTATGAATGCCACTACGCTTCTTAAATCTCTCAACCAACCTTTGCTGGCCTTAAATTCACTCACATCACTAGTTGCTGGCATTTTTTTTAATTAAATCGTCATGCAACTTTCCTAGCCTTTTCACATATGATCGCTTGAGAGATGCTGTCTCCTGCTATCTGTTTCTCGTTTATCCACACCAATAACAGTCCCCCAACTCTTCGAGTACTTTTGATCTCAGTTTCGAAAACATAGTTGCACCTTTGGCAAGAACAGCTTTCCCTTTATTGCCGTTTTCTTGCCCACAATAGTAGCGATGGTTGATTGGGGTTTATTATACAACCTGACCAGCTCAGAGATACGCACTCCACTTTCATATTTATCAATGATCTCTTTCTTCATCTCCATAGTAATTCTCACCCTTTTTGCTGTAGGGTTGGCACTAGAAGCTTTCTTGGGGCCCATGGTGACTTATTTTGCAGGTGCAATCACTAAAAAAGCTGTGATAATGAGAAATGTTCCAGTTGTATGTTTGGAAGCGACCGCAGTGGCTGGCTGGCTTGTAAACACTGGCACTAAAGGGACAAGTGAGGCGCGCTCAGGCCAAAGTGGACGCGTATGGTACGGAACGAAAAGCGTTGGTCGGGTTTTTAAGCGCTAGTCAAGGGAAAATTTTTGCGTTTAAATGAATCGCTAGTCATATTTATCGTTAATCGATACCATCGCTGGTTGAGGGTCCACTGTAATTGTATAAATAATATCACCACATTTGTGAACGTATATTAGACCCACCAGCTGGCGTGTATTAGACGTGTGAGGTCATTTGTTTACTCTTGAACATCGGCAAAAATTTAACATTTCTGCTACTTTGAGCTCAGTTTCAAGGCATTTTTAGTACTAAAACCAATCAAAATCATCTCCATTTCTGTAATATATCTTCCTTTCTATCAAATGAGACCATGAAATCACAAATACAACTATAAAAAACATATGAGAAAACACTGCAAAGTCGCTGTTTTAATAGAAAATTACGGTCTCAGTTTTTTTCTCTCATTATCCACTCGGTGCTGCAGGATTTGTTTTATGTGGTGCACATATGCCACATAGATGTATTCTCTCATATCTAGGCCCAAACTTACCTCTCACGGCTTATCAGAGTGAGCTGAGCTCATGGCGTAGATCTACGGTTTGGATCCTCAAAGTAAAGTCGTAGATCTACGGCACGGACCCTGAAAGGGTTAAGAAGTGTTTCCTGTGGCCTCACAGGATAATGTTCATTCACCGAGAAACTAAGTGACTGCCCCCTCAGAATGCATTTGTGGGAGGTTGTGTGGACAGCATGCTTGGATATGTGCCATACCACCGACGAGAATGGAGGAAAGCAACGAAAACGAAGCCAATAATTTTACGGAAAAATCAGCGATGACGGAAATGATTGAAAACAGAGCCCAACGAAAAGGGAGGGTCCACTGTACATCCATAAATGCCATACAGAAATACTCTACAAAGTCACTGTTTTAAACCAAAAACAGTTTTTTTTTTTTTCATTATGCACTGCCTGCTGCAGGATTATTTTTTATGCTGCGCTTGCTGACCACACAGACCTGTTCTCTCATACGTAAGCCTACCAGCTTTCTCCTGCAACAAACCGCTAGAGCTTTGTTGTTGTATTACGGGACTGACACTGGCTTTAGAGTTGTAATTTTGCAGTACTAACAGCGAAGGGGTTAATATTTTAAAAATATCGGTTGGTATCGGTCAATACTGATACCAGTACCATAAAAAATAGCTGATACCTGCTGAAAACGATACTTTGGCACATCCCTAGTAAACACTAAATTAGATATAAATGGCATTTACTGGCTTACATAATGGCCTATGCACAACAGTTTTTTTTTATACTATGCACACCTATGGTGGAGACCCATTTCTTCTCTGATGTAGGCCTAACCAGGCTGATTGTGGCTATTTTGAAGGCCTAGAATTTTTGGGTCTATGTAAGTGATTGGTAGATGAAGCATTAATGAAAGTTACCATAAGTAAATAATTAAACTAGATGGTAAAGAGTAACCCTGCATGGTTGTAGAAAAACCTGATGACCAGTCTCAAGTTTTATTTGTATATTAAATATTCATTAATTCAACACTAACCTGGCAAGATTTTAATAAATTACTTTACACTCTTCCAGCCTTCAAGAAGTGCTCATCCTAATGTAAAATTCACTTGTACAAGTCAAGAACCCATGGTAATTGATAACTTACCATTTGACAAATATGAACTGGAACCTTCCCCATTGACACAGTTCATCCTTTCAAGGAAGCAGCCAACTGTTTGCTGGCAGGTCAGTACCTCTTAAAGTTTATGTAAACTATGATTAATTCTTAAGAGTTAGCAAAAATTGATCAAAAGATATGTTGTAATTTATTGGTTTAAGTTACTTAATATTCTATATATAATAAATGCTCTCTTAATGCATCTGATACAGCGTTGAAAATTAGCACTTGATGAAAATTAGCTTTATGTGTAGTAAAAAACATAATGGAAAAATAGTGTGCTAGACACTGCAAATTTGCTAAACAATTTTTTTTTTAATATTTTACTAGGTAAAAATTACTGTAGAGTATGCTGCCTTAAGTTCTGCTAATTTTTACTTAAAGTATTTGATGTGTGTGGAGAGGGGTTAATATGGGTTAGTGAGTGCCAAGTATGATCATATTAGTGTTGTACAGTAATGACATTTACACAAGTAGATGAAACAACTTGTAACAGTTTGGTATCTATTACCAAAACTTGTTTCCTGCCTAGCAGGATTCACCTTGCTTGAAGCTATGGAGCTGAACACTGGCAATGGCTGAGGGCTGTTGTCTCTTATATTTAAGTCACATCTATATTATGACTGAAGAAGCCTGCTGAGCAAGTGAAGTGTCTCAACAGTAAAGATAAACTGTTGCATGTTTCTTACTCACTTATTCACAGTGGCACGTTGAATGTAGCAAGCTTTATCAGTGGATACACTCTTGGTACATGTTAATAGGTAAAAATAAAAGCTAAATTTCCTATCAAGTTGTCTAAACATATATGAACTCACTACTACACCTGTACCAAGCTAACATGTATGAAAGATTAATGTATTTGATAAATTCACAGTAAATAAAAAATGCTAATACAAAAATGTTGGAAGGAGTCAGAGTGCCTACATCTCTAAAACAGTATAGGTCACATTTCATTACCAGATTTCTAAATCTATGTGCAATACATATCCCAGTTGTCTGTATAACTTTTATTATGTATGATTTATGCACGAGGAGCCAATAATATCATGTATAATGGAAGTGAAGATAACACTACATTCTTGGGCCAAAGCAAAACCAGAACCAACAGGGAAATAGCAACTCTCCACTTCCTTTCTCAAAATATTACTGCTGTATTGTTAAAATAATGGGCAGCAGGTGGGACGAGAGTTGCCTATGAAAATTTAGACACTTGTACAACATCTGGGTATCCTTATTGTAGACGTTTCACTATCCAGTGGCTTTATCAATACAAATTCAAGGACATGAATGGAAGACAGTAGAGCTGTATACAAAAGATGAGGTAATCAGTCCCTCAGCCTTGGAGTTGGTGTGAAAAGCACCATAGTCGTGAAGATTCTGGACCACAGGCAAGAAGGCTGGTGCTTATATACTGGCATCAGGTGGAAAGGGACGGATAACAGACGAGGGCAGTCACTGGTAGGTGGGATTTCCCAGTGGAAGTAGGTCATACCCAAGGGATGGGTTAGTGGTAGTAGTAATAGCCATGAGGAAGGTTATGTAGATGTCCTCTGAACTAAGATTTCATGATGCTGCAGTGTCTGACAAGTTGTACATGAATGGTATACAGTACCGACAAGATGAAAATTTAGACACGTGCAGCCTCTAGGTATCTTACCTATACCTCTTCTTTCACATTATTAACCAAATTAACGTTACTTTGCCTTACCTTGTAAGGTGTGGGTAGTCAATTGATTTAATGTATGTACCTCAGTAGCTGCATACTCCTACACTATAACTTTCTCACTTAAACACTTATATACTCCTTATAAGCTAAAGTAGATAAATCACTCTTAAAACTATGGAAATGTATAATTAGTATAATTATAATAATGTATGATATGATGGTAGGATTGCTGGTGTCCTTTTTCTGTCTCGTTAACATGCAAGATTTCAGGTAAGTCGTGCTACTTCTACTTACACTTAGGTCACACTACACATACATGTACAAGCATATATATACACACCCCTTTGGGTTTTCTTCTATTTTCTTACTAGTTCTTGTTCATTTCCTCTTATCTCCATGGGAAAGTGCAACAGAATTCTTCCTCTGTAAGCCATGGGTGTCATAAGAGGCGACTAACATGCCAGGAGCAAGGGGGTAGTAACCCTTTCTCCTGTATACATTACTAATATTAAAAAGAGAAACTTTTGTTTTCTTTTTGGGCTACATTGCTTCAGTGGAATACAGTTGGTTTGTTGAAAGTAGTAGTAGTATGATATAGAGCATGTATAATTTGTGAAAAGGCAAAGGGGACAAAAGAGAGTGTAAGAATTATAGGGAAATAAGCCTGTTGAGTATACTATCTGGTAAAGTGTATGGTAGAGTTATTACTGAAAGAATTAAGAGTAAGATGGAGAGCAGGATTGCAGAGGAACAAGGAGGCTTTAGGAAGGGTAGGAGGTGTGTAGGCTAAGTGTTCACAGTGAAACATATAGGTGAACAGCATTTAGATAAAGGTAAAGAGGTTTTTGTGGCATTTATGGATTTGGAAAAGGCATATGATAGGGCAGATAGGGGGATAATGTAGCAGATGTTGCAAATGTATGGAATAGGAGGTAGGTTATTGAAAGCAGTGAAGAGTTTTTATGAGGATAGTGTGGCTGAGGTTAGAATTTGTAGGAGAGAGGGAGGGAGATTATTTCCCAGTAAAAGTTAGGCAAGGTAACATTTATGAAGGGATTCAGGGAAACTGGCAGGCCGGACTTGAGTCCAGGAGATGGAAAGTACAATGCCTGCACTCTGAAGGAGGGGTGTTAATGTTGCCTCTGGCAAGACAGTGATGGAGTGAATGATGATGGAAGTTTTTCTTTTTCGGGCCACCCTGCCTTGGCGGGATATGGCCGCTGTGTTAATGAAAAAATAAATTAGGCCTTAGACAGGGATGTGTGATGTCACCATGGTTGTTCAATATTTATTTATTTATTTATTTATTTTATTTATTTATTTTTATTTAGTAATTTGAGCATACATACAGAGGTACAAAAAAATACAGGTAAGAGCAGCATGCCAAAGCCACTTATATGCATAGCATTACGGGCTGGCTTAAAATTAACTTAAGATTAACTAAGCAGTGATGAAATCAATGATAAGACATTATTGTAAACAGATAACTATAAAGCACAAATGAGTATTACAAAGACAGGTCATATGGTTGCATGCATTGCTGTACATTCAGTAGAATGGAGTATTCTGTTAGGTAGTGTATTTAAAAAATAACAAAGTTAGATTGGGTCCTAGGTTTAACATTTATGTGATATAATTGTAAGAAACATTTAGGATATATAATTTATAAGGTTCAGTTATTCGGTATTTATAGATGAGACTCTGACCGTGGGTTCAAATCCCGCCCGTGGTATGGTTTGTTTGCAATCATGTCATTACAATTTCACAAGTCATAGATGGGGTTGTAAGAAAAGTGAATGCTCAGGTGTTAGTAAGATGTGTGGGATTAAAAGATAAAAACGCTAAGACAAAGTGCGAGTTGTCACAGTTGCTTTTTGTTGATGACACTGTGCTTTGGGGGAGATTCTGAAAAGTTGCAGAGGGTGGTGGACAGATTTGGGAAGGAAGGATGGGGGGAGGGACACTGCTTGGAGCTTACTCACTGCCCAGTGAGCAGATTCTGGAAAACCGTTGATTGTACTACCCAAATTTTGCAGGTTATTTATTTAGATTTTAAATGCGTAGTTTTAAGGTTATTTCTTGTGATATGTGGTGTAGTTATGTATGAGGGTTTACTGTACTAGGGTTTACTTTTCTTTCTGTAGACCTTAATTGGGAAAAAATTAATGCCAAACTTCTGTAACACAGGTGTACATTCCTAACAGCAGCAAAAATAGTGACGTTGGTCATCCATTTGGCTACCTGAAGGCCAGCACAACACTGCAAACTGTCAACTTATTTGTCATGCCTTACAACTACCCAGTACTTTTACCACTTTTGGATGAACTGTTCAAGACGCATCGTTTAAAGCCAACCAAAGAATGGAGAACACCATTTGATAATTACCTTCGTTCGATGCCTCCATATTATGCAAATGTAAGCTATAGTTTCACATTTAATTTTTATGTCTTCCTTTATTTGTGTTTAATTTTCAAAATTTTTAGGAATGCATAATATTTAAAGCATTAAATCATAAATTACACTTTTAAGCTGTTTTAAATTAGTGTTCATTTGCTCTATTAACCCTTAAACTGTCCAAGCAGATCTACGTTCACATGCGTAGAGCTCCAAAAGTAGATCTACGTTTTTTACATATTTTCAAATATAAAAAAAAAATAGATCCAAGTTTTTTTTAAACTTTTTCAAATGTAAAAAAAAAAATCTACTTTTTTACGTACTTTCAAATGTTGAAAAAACGTAGATCTACGTTTGGACAGTTTAAGGGTTAAAACCATACCATGAGATTGACCTTTGTCTTATAATTACCTCTGTAGATATAGGAACAGACTTGTGATTGTAGTGGTCTCCCTTCAGTATTTAATATATTTTATCATGTACAAATGCTCCTCACTTTATCATGATGGGACGTACGACATTTCGACTTTACAATGGTGTTATCTGAAGTTGAAATATCACTGTCACACAGTACTGTATGTTACTGTACATTTATTGATAAGATAAACTTGTATTCATTTATTTACTTTTCAGTACTAGTATTTAGTTAGAGTAATTATTTGCTTGTTTACCTAGTTATTTATTTATCATATATTCAGCGTACATTTTCAACTTATGACGGGTTCATCAGAATGTAACAGTTATAAGTTGAGTAGCACCTGTATACAACCTCTCCTCACTTAACGATGGAGTTCTGTTCCTAAGACCAAGTCGGTACATGAATTTGTCAGTGAGTGAGTAGCATATTATAATGGTAGTGGGTTTGTGTCAACCATCTTTGATATTGCTTTAATGTCGCCTTTGCACCATTTATAACATTTCTGGTATATTTTTAAGTGTTTATACAGTAGTGTACTGTATGTTATAATAAACGGAATAGAAGAAATCAGCTCTAACATACATTACAGTGGACCCTCAGCTAACGGCGGCTTTGGCTAATGCCAAAATCGGCTAATGGCTTGCTTTGGCGTCAAAATATTGGCTCGTCTAATGCCAGATAACTCGGCTAAGGGCTTTCGTCCCAAGCGTGGCCTGAGCGGGTCCCTGGCCACTCCATATACCAGCCAGTGTGCCATTGTGTACAAAGTCAGTGAGGATGTCCATGTGTACCTGCGATATATTTTGTATTATTCCAGTGTTTTTAGTGCTTGTAACTGCTAAATAAGCCACCATGGGCCCCAAGAAAGCTTCTAGTGCCAACCTTGTGGTAAAAAGGGTGAGGTGTACTTTTGAATTAAAGAAAGAGATAATCGCAAAGTATGATAGTGGAGTGCATATATTGAAGTTGGAAAGGGTATTTAACAAACCCCATTCAACCATCACTACTATCTTGCCCAACAAAAAGGCAATCAAGGAAGCTGGTGTTGCAAAAGGTGCAAGTGTGTTTTCAAAACAGAGATCGCAAATACAGTGGACCCCCGGTATACGATGGCATTGGTACACGTTAAATCTGGTATACAATACATTTTAACGCAAAAGTTTTGCCTCACCACTCGTTAAAAAACCCGCCACATGCGATTCGTCCGGGATGCGTCCACATGTGGCCTGAACTGCCCCGTGCGTGCCAGTGTTTACAAGCCAGCCAGTGTGCTCGCATGTAAGCATACATTCGGTACATTCCATATTATCACAGTGTTTTTGGTGCTTGTTTCTGCAAAATAAGTCACCATGGGCCCCAAGAAAGCTTCTAGTGCCAACCCTGTGGTAAAAAGGGTGAGAATTAGTATGGAAATTAAGAAAGATTTTGAGAGGTTTGAACGGCTAACCCTGAGAAGCCTATGCCAGTTGTGGAATCCATTGTGCCTACTTCAAAAATTAATGAAATGTGTGCAAAGTGGGTTGAACTGCAAACCTTTATGCATGAAAATCACCCTAACACAGCTATTGCAAGCCGTGCTGGTGACTATTACAATGATAATGTTATGGCCCATTTTAGACAAATCTTAAAGGAACGGGAGGTACAGACCTCTATGGACAGATTTGTTGTGCGACAGAGGTCCAGTGACTCAAGCTGGTCCTAGTGGCATTAAAAGAAGAAGGGAAGTAACCCCGGAAAAGGACTTGCTACCTGAAGTCCTAATGGAAGGGGATTTCCCTTCTAAACATTAACAACTTCGATACTCTCCCCTCCTCCCATCCTATCATCACCAGATCTTCATTAAAGGTAAGTGTCATGTATTCTATTGTTTGTAAAGTACAGTGGACCCCCGGTTCGCGATGCCATCGGTATCCGATAATTCTGGTAAGTGATAGGTTCTAACGCAAAAATTTTGCCTTGGTTCCCGTTAAAAAACCCGGTATACACGATTCGTCTGAGACGTGTCCACGTGTAGCCTGAACTGCCCCATGTGTGCCAGTGTTTACAAGCCAGCCAGTGTGCTCGCACCTAAGGATACATTCGGTACATTCCATATTATCACAGTGTTTTTGGTGCTTGTTTCTGCAAAATAAGTCACCATGGGCCCCAAGAAAGCTTCTAGTGCCAACCCTTCGAGAAAAAAGGTGCTAATGACTATTGAAATGAAGAAAGAGATAATTGCAAAGTACAAAAGTGGAGTGCGTGTGTCGGAGCTGGCCAGGTTGTATACCAAACCCCAATTAACCATCTCTACTATAGTGACAAGGAAAACGACAATCAAGGAAGCTGTTGTTGCAAAAGGTACAACTGTGATTACGAAACAGTGACTGCAAGTGTTAGAAAATGTTGAGAGACTGTTATTGGTGTGGATAAACGAAAAACAGATAGCAGGAGATAGCATTTCTGAGGCGATCATATGTGAAAAGGCTAGGAAGTTGCATGACGATTTAATTAGAAAAATGCCTACAACTAGTGGTGATATGAGTGAATTTAAGGCCGGCAAAGGTTGGTTTGAGAGATTTAAGAATCGTAGTGGCATGCATAGTGTGGTAAGGCATGGTGAGGCTGCCAGTTCGGGCCAAAAATCAGCTGAAAAATATTTGCAGGAATTCAAGGAGTACATAGACAGTGAAGAATTGAAACCTGAACAAGTGTTTAATTGTGACACTGACAATGTTGTCAAACACTTTAGGAATGTCATAAAGGAACTGGAGGTACAGGCCTCTATGGGCAGATATGTTGTGTGACAGGTCCAGTGACTCTCAAGCTGGTCCTAGTGGCATTAAAAGAAGGGAAGTAACCCCGGAAAAGGACTTGACACCTCAAGTCCTAATGGAAGGGGATTCCCCTTCTAAACACTAACACCATCCACACTCTCCCCTCCTCCCATCCCATCAATCATCACCAGATCTTCAATAAAGGTAAGTGTCATGTAATTGTACATGTCTTCTTCAGTTTGTGTGTATTAAAATTAATATTTCATGTTGTAAAAATTTTTTTTTCAATACTTTTGGGTGTCTTGCACGGATTAATTTGATTTCCATTATTTCTTATGGGGAAAATTAACTCGACTAACGATAATTTCGATTAACGATGAGCTCTCAGGAACGGATTAATATCGCTGGTCGAGGGTCCACTGTATATCTGTTGCCCCTCTATAAGCATGTACATCCTGAAGTCTACCCATCAACCTTGTATCCACCAATACATAATCTAGCAAACTACTTTCATTTCGTGCTGTGTCATAAAATATGTATTACATATTACCAAACCTCTTTCTGCACATAGTTCAATTAAAGGCCTCCCATTTTCATTTTCCCCTGGCACCCCAATTTACTTAATGCTCCCTCTACAACATTTTTATCCACTTTAGCATTAAGATCCCCAACCACAAGTGCTCTTCCACTTGGTTAAAATCTCCCCCCACACTTGCTCAACATGTCCCATAATCTCTCTCTCTCTCTCTCTACACTTCTCTCTTCTCCAGGTGCATAAACACTTACTGTAACACACTTTTCACATCCAACCTTTATTTTACTCCACATAATCCTTGACTTTATACATTTATATTCCTTTTTTTCCTGCCATAACTTATTCCTTTATGCTAATAGTTTTATTTTTACTGTATTGGGCAAAAAGTTCCTTGATCTTGTTGGTGTTATAGTTTTTTTAAAGATGTTTGTGTCAAGGATGTTCTGTGTATGAATTTTTATATGTACATGAATTTTAAGATCACTGATCAAAATAATTTCCACAGCCCCTGAAACGTGCTCTTGGGCGAATGGGTGCCCCCAACCTTGTTCCGGATAACCTCGACAACTCCCTTAGCTTCCAAGTCACCAATCATCTCAAGAGGCTAAAAAACCAAGCCAAATTAGAATATGAACGCATTTGCCTTGAGGTTAGTAACTGGTTTATTTCCAGCTTGCCTGTTTATTTTTATTTTGCAAATTGAATAGGTTTAAAGGGTGAGTAAATGGGAATCCACCCTTTCTTTTTTTTAAATTTAGTAAAAATTTCTTTAATGCGAAGTACATGCCTGCATTTTAAAGGGAGGGAGGGTTTTGGGAATTTTTTCTTTTTGGGATTCGCACCCTAAACCTGTTAAAATCTGAGTACCCTTCTAAAAAACAGGGGATTATGTGTGAATGATAGTGTTAAATTTGATGGTGAAAGTGCTGAATGTTTGGTAAAAGTGTTAAAAGATGGTGAGTGCCCCTTTTTTGGGGGGGGGGTCCCCCTTTTCTTTGGTGGGAGAGGGCCTTTTGTGTTGAAAAAAGAAAATTAAAATAGGGTCATTGCAAAGAAGGGGGTTACAATTGTTTGGCCCCTTTGGGGGAGAGAGAAGTAAAAAGGGAAAAAGGGGGAAAGTTTTTAGCGAGTGTTAACCCATAAACGGCCCCAGACATATATGTTTTTTTACCGCTATTCCCCCCAAACATATATACGTTTTTTTTTTTTCCTCCCTTTTCAAATTTGGCAAAATTGGGCCCTGAGATCCCTTTGTCACATAGAATGGGTTCTAACACTCAGTGTTGCGTTAAAAAAAATTTGGGACCATTTAAATTTCCTTGGGGGAGCACCAGTTAAAATGACGCCGGGTAAAGCAAACAGGGGCCAGCAAACACCCGGGGGATTCACTGATGTCATCTAGTTTAACATTCCCTTTTTAAAGGGGAAAAAGTGTTTTTGCCCCTATTTTTTAGTGGCTTTGGGTGGTTTGGGCCACAAGTGGTCGGGAAAAAAACAAAAAAAACCTCGATAATAACCCATGCCAATTTGTGAAAACCCCCTTTTTCCAGAATGTTTTAAAAACCCTATGCCCAATGTAAAGAAAAACCCAAATTCGGGCCCGGGCTGCGGGCTGATTGGCTAGCTAGCGGGCTGGCTAGCTGGCGGGCCCCAGCTGCGTGGCAGCCATTTGTGTGGCCCCCAGCTGCTGGGGGCCGGCCCTCAAATCCCCATTTGTCTTTTTTTTATCTATTCTGTCTTTTCTGCTCTGTCTATCTTTGCCCTCCCCAGGTAAAAAAATAAAAATACGTATATGTAGTATAAAAAAAACCTAGGAAAACCCCAAAAAAATCCAAAAAAAGTGCTTACTTCTCTTGAAGATGTGAGTAAACATGATAAAGCAAATTTTGGCTCTCTCTGAGCCCGAGAGCTAGATAGATAGACAAAATAGACGGGGAGCTTGAAAAAGAAAAAATAGTTTAGAAAAGTTTGTGTCCCAAACCCAAAAACAAACTTTCCCTAATCCTTTCCCTTTATCAGGTTATCAGTGCACCCATCAATTTCCCATAAAAACCGCAGCTCTTATCAAATTTTAAATCTTATTTTAAATTTTCACTGTCAGGGGTGAACTTTTTTTTTTCATGCTTCAAGGAAAATTTTATTGGGAAATTATTATTATTATGTATTATTATTATGAAACCTCCTCCTCCCCTCCTCCCCTTCCCCCCTCCTCCCCTCTCTTCTCCTCCCCCTCTTTTCCTCCCCCCCAAACTCTTCCTCCCCCTTTTTCCCTCCCCCTCTCCTCCCCCTTTCCCCTTCCCCTTTTCCCTCCCCTCTCTTCCCCTCCTCCCCCCCCTTTTCCCTTTTCCCTCCTCCTCCCTCTTCTTCCCCCTCCTCCTCTCTTTTTCCTCCTCCCCCCTTTTCTTCTTCCCTCCTCCCCCTTTTCTTCTCCTCCTCCTCTCTTTTTCTCCTCCTCCCCCTTTTTCTTTTCCCCCTCCCCCTTTTCCCTCCTCCCCCTTTTTCCCCCCTCCTCCTCTCTTCCCCTTCCCCTCCTCTCTTCTCTTCCTCCCCTTTCTTTTCCTTCCTCCTCCTCTCTCCTCCCCTCCTCTCTCCCCCCCTCCCCTCCCCCTCCCCCTCCCTCCCCCCTCCCCCTCCCCCCTCCCCCCCCCTCTTTCTCCCCTTTCCCCTCTCATGCTCCCCCCCCCCCCTCTCCCCTCTCCTCCTCCTCCCTCCCCTTTCCTCCCCCTTCCCCTCCTCCTCTCTTTCCTCCTCCCTTCCCCCCCCTTTTTCTCCCCCTCTCCCCCTCCTCTCTTTTCTCCTCCTCTCTCTTCCCCTCCCCCTCTCTTTTTCCTCCTCCTCCTCCTCTTCTCCCCCCTCCTCCTTTCTCCTCCTCTCTCTTCCCTCCTCTTTTCTTCTCCTCCTCTTCCCCCCCACCCCCCTCTCTTCTCCTCCTTTTCCTCCCTTCTCCTCCTTTTTCTTCTCCCCCTCTTCTCTTTTCCTCCTCCCCCCTTCCCTCTCCCCTCCTCCACTTTTCCCTCTCCCCTTTCCCCCTCCTCCTCTTTTCCTTTCCTCCTCCCTCTCCCTCCTCCTCCTCTCTCCTCCTCCTCCTTCCCCCCTCCTCCCCCTCTCCCTCCTCCTCCTCTTCCTCCTCCCCCTCTCTCCTCCTCCCCCTTTTCCTCCTCCTCCTCCCCCCTCCTCCTTTTCCCCCTTCCTCCTCTCTCCTCCTCCCTCTCCTCCTCCTCTCTCCCCCTCTTTTCCTCCTCCTCACCCCTTTCCCCTCTTTTCCTCCCCTCTCTCCTCCCCCTCTCTCCCCCTCCTCCCTCCTCCCCCCTCCCCTCCTCCCTCTCCTCCTTTCTTCTCTCCTCCTCTCTCCACCCCCCTCCCCCCTCTCCCCCCCCTCCCCCTCCTCGTCTCTCCCCTCTCTTCTCCCCCTCCTCTCTTTCTCCCCTCTCCCCCTCCTCCCTTCTCTTCTCTCTTCTCCTCCTCTTCTTCTCCTCTCCCCCCCTCCTCCTCCTCCTCCCCCCTCCTCCCCTCCCTCCTCTTCCTCCCCCTCTCTCCTCCTCTTCCTCCTTTCTTCCCTCCCCTCTCTCCACTCCCCCTCTCTCCTCCTCTCCCTCCTCTTTCCCCTTTTCCTCCTCGCCTCGTCCTCCCCCCTCTTCCTCCTCCTCTCTTCTCTCTTTTCTCCTCCCCCTTTTCCCCCCCCTCTTCTCTTTTCCCCCTTTCTCCTTTTTCCCTTTTCTCCTCCTCTTTTCCTCCTCCTCTCTCCTCCTCCTCCTCCTCTCCTCCTCCTCCTCCTCCTTTCCCCTCTCCCCTCCTCCTCCTCCTCCCCCCCCCTCCTCCTCCCCCTCCCCCTCCTCCTCTCTCCTCCTCTCTCCTCCTCCCCCTCTCCCTCCTCCCCCTCCTCCTCCTCTCTCCTCCTCCTCTCTCCTCCTCCTCTCTCCTCCTCCTCTCCTCCTCCTCCTCTCTTCCTCCCTCTCCCCCTTTTCCCTTCTCTCCTCCTCTCTCCACTCCTCGTTCTCCTCTCCTCCTCCCCCTCCTCTCCTCCTCTCTTTCTCCTCTTCCCCCCCCTCCTCTCTTCTCCTTTTCTCCCCCCTTTCCCTCCTTTTCCCTCCTCCTTTTCTCCCCCCCTTCCCCTCCTCCCCCCTTTCCCCCTCCTTTTCTCCTCCCCTCCTTCTCTTCTCCTTTTCTTTTCTCCTCTTCTCTTCTCCTCCTCCCCCTTTCTTTTTCCCCTCCTCCTCCCCCCTTTCCCTCCACCTCTTCTCCTCCTCCTCTTCTCCTCCTCCTCTCTCCCCCTCCTCTTCTCCTCCTCCTCTTCCCCTCCCCCTCCTCTTCTCCCCCCTCCTCCTCTTCCCCTCCTCCTCTCTTTTTCCTCCCCCCTCTCTTCTCCTCCCCCCCTTTTTTTCTCCTCCTCCTCTTCTCCTCCCCCCCTCCCCTCTTTCTCCTCTCATCTCCTCCTCTCTTTTTCCCCCCCCTCTCTTCCCCCTCCTCCTTTTCCTCCTCTTTTCCTCCCTCCTCCTTCTTCCTCCTCCCTCATCTCCCCCCCCCTCCCTCCTCTTCCCCTCCCCCCCCCTCCTCCTCTCCCCCTTTCCTCCCTCCCCCCATCCTCCTCCCCCCTCCTCTTTCCTCCCTCCTCCCTTTCCTCATCTCCCTCCCCCCCTCCCTCCCTCCTCTCTCCTCCCCCCTTCTCCCCCTTCCTCCCCCCTCCCCCAATCCCCTCCCCCCAAAATTTTCCCCCCTCCTCTCCCCCTCCCCCCATCTCCCTCCCCCTCCCCTCTCCCCCTTTCCTCCTCTCTCCTCCCCCCCTCCCTCCCCCTCCTCCCCCTCCCTCACTCTCCTCTCCCCTTCCCCTCCCCCCCTCCCCCCTCCTCTTTTTTTTTTTTTTTTTTTTTTTTTTTTTTATACGGGGTTTTTGAAAAGGGTTTAAAGGGAAATCCCTAGCTTTATTGAAAAACTTTTTAAAGGTTAAGGTTTTCCTAACTTTATTGAAAGCAAGAGCTGTTCCCCCTACATCGGGCCCTTTTGAAAGAAATTTTTATTTTTTAAACATACAAGGGGGGGAAAAGGGAAATTGGAGCCATCTGGGGGCCAGCTTTTTTTCTGTGATCACTGACTTTTCTCGTTGCCCACCCTTTAAGGCTGTAGGGGAAGGGGGTTTTTCCCCATCCCTCGATCATCCGGGGTAAAAGATCTCGAATGGGTGATTTTTCGGGAAAAGGGACGGGCCCAAAAGTGAAGTTGCTGTTTTTCTGCCCTCTTTTTGGGGCATAAAAGTTTTGTTTCACCTGTCCTCGAAGTGGATCCAAGTTTTGGTACTTTGACAATTTTGGGCCCCTTGACAAAAACAGAAAGGCCACCCACATCCCTCCTTTGTTGAAGGCCCCTGCTGAAAGACAGATCTTTTCCAGGATGGGCCCGGGGTGAGAGTTTGAGTTTGCTTGCTCTGTTTCTCTACTTGTCAAGCAGTCGCAAAAAAGGGGGGGGCCCCAAGGAAAAAACCAAAAAAGGGAGAATACTAAAGGGTGTGACCCTACTTGGGGCCCGTACAAAAATCTTGCAACCCCAAACCGGGCAAGCAAATGCGAGAAAACGGCCGAAGTGCTGAAATTTTCCCCGGGCTGCCTTTTTTTGCAAGATTTACAAAAAGGGTTCTTCAGGGTTATTTTGGGGGTC